CAGGCTCAGGCAATCCACTCACCTTGGCCTCCCAAAATGCTGGGATTACAGGCTGAGCCACTGAGCCCTGCCCCCTCCTCCCTCTTCTTCACTCCTTCTTTAGAACCCTCTCATCACAGTCCTCAACCCCCACGCCCCCAACCCAATCATCCACTAATATTTTACAGATTCTTTCATGTTGCTCGAATGGATTGTTTTTAGTAACACCTCAGATAATACTTTTTAGGCAGGTTTTATATTTAGCTTCTCTCTTAATGTTTTGAAGGGTTTCTCCACTGCATGATGATGACTTGCTACTCTCAGGAATTCTGTTTCTTAGTGACTATTTGGTACCCTCCCAGTTTTGCAGACCTTCAGATTTCCTAGCATGTTGTAGGGATTTCTTATAATGTATAAATCACATAGTTTCCTAAGATCTGTCACTTCCTAAAGCTAGTTACAGCACTTGCCAGCTAACTCTTGCTTTTTTTCAGAATGATTTGAAATAGCTCATGTATTAAACAGTAATTGAACATCATAGTCCTAAAATTTAGCAAATGCTCAAGTTGAATAGTTAAATGGTGATTCTCTAAAATTAAAATTATGATTGGGAGAGCAAAGCCTATATGTTTTCTTTAAAATACAAATAGATATTACTGGTTGTTAATATTGTTACTCCACCCTTTCTTTAGGTAGAGTACTTTTGCAAAGTATTTTAAAAATCCTTTGAGTTATGCAAGGTTGTTTATCAGACTACTGTCTGATCTGTCTGCCAGAATTTATTAAATAGCTCATCAGTGACCCATTTAATGGTGAAATTGCTCCACTGTTGCATAAACAGTAATCTTAGCCAGCAGTGTTATAAAAATTCATAACAAAAGAGTATTATCTAATGAAAGGAGAACATCCAATTTCTAGAATAAAAGTCTCATAGTTTGTATAGGCATTGAAAACAGTACATGCCAAGATAAGGAGTCAGAAAATTAGTGTCATCGTAAGAACAGGGACCATGGATAGATAGTACAGGATTAGGCTTGACTGTTATGTTAGCTTATTTAGAGCACTAGAAGAGGGAGGTGCATTGTTTATAGCATAACAGGCTCTAATACATACTTAGATGAGGATGAAACAATATGATTCTGGAATTTGCTTTAAAATACTCTGGGGTGGTAGTGAGCACAGGACAGAGGAAACAAGTCTGGCAAAATGTGATAATCATGGAAGCTGAGTGTTTAATCTTTCTTATGGTGCATGGAAATATTCTACAATAAGTAAAAGAACAACAATGACAAAAATCCAAAAATTTTCTATGATTTTTAAATACATATATTTTTTGAGTTGGAGTCTTACTCTGTCATCCAGGCTGGAGTGCAGTGGCATGCTCACAGCCACCACAGCCTCAACCTGTTGGGCTCAGGCGATCGTTCCACCTCAGCCTTCCAAGTAGCCATCACTACAGGTGTGTGCTACCATGCCCAGCTAATTTTTTGATTTGCTGTAGAGATGAGGTCTTACTAAGTTTCCCAGGCTGGTAGGCCGTCCTCTCACCTCGACCTCCCAAAGTTCTGGGATTACAGGCTTTGCTTTTAAATGCAAAGATTGTGCAACCAATAAGAAAAGAATATGGTTTTCACAGCAGACTGAGCAATTTAGGAGTGATGAGAGAGTTTTTTAAATGATTCCTTAAAATTTTCTCCTAATATCCTATAAATTATGAACTTGAATGTTTCTTGTGTAATATTCTCAAATGCAACTACTCAAAATTACCATTATATAATATGTTAGGACATTTAAAATATTTTAATGAAATTCTTTAGACATGAAGAAAGATAAGGACTAATTATAACTTTAAAAATATATAGATCAGTGATATATCACTGTTGTTAAAGATATTAACATAATCTAAATCTGCATTCACAGAGTGATAACATCCCAATCATGGAAAAGTACAGAAAAACATAGGTAGGATATGGAGAGTGTCTAGAAACCTTGTCATAGGTAGAGGAGTGGCTTAAGGGTTGGGATGATTCAGTAAAGTGAGGAAGTCTGAAGGCAGACCTGGGGAGCTATCCTCTAGGAAATCAAGGTTGACATGTGGAAAAATAGGAGCATTTTTCTGAGTTATTCTGGGGGACTTATCTGGAACAGGTGCACATGAGTTATAGACAGGTTCATTCTAATCATAAGATTTTTTTTTGATACATTCATTGTATTTAAAAATCAGAAGAGGCCTTTTTTCTTCTTCTTCTTCTTTTAGCCCTAATATCTGAATAATGAGCATCTTTCTATTGGTGATCATCATTGTATACTGCCAACCCATTTTGTAACCTCCAAACATGTTTCAGTTAATTATATGTTGGCCTGTTAGTTCTCTGGTGTGAATGACCATGTCTGTGCTGCTTTTGCACTCTTAAAAAGGCTCTGTACTTTTGTCATGTAATTTGCTGACAAAATCTCAGTTAACACTGATGAACTGGGGGATGTGTAAGATGAGAAACTATAGAAGCAGCAAGCGTTAGCTTTTGTTTGGAGCAGTATTTGTTGTCTAGCCTTATTACTTTCCAAAATTTAGAATTGACAGGACTATAAAAGAAGGATTCAAGTACTGTGTGTTCAGTGCAAAGAGACCTAAAGACGATTAGAATAATTTTCTAGTCAACCTGCATTGAGGTTTTGTGCTTATTTTTACTTGGCCAGCACATCAAGAAGTAAGCCAAGTCTTTTCAGTATGAGTTTTTTAGTGGGGGTTTCGACTGAATGTTTATTTCAAGTAAAGGAGCATTTGTCTGTCCTATCAGCTGGCCAAGCCACTCAGGAACCCAAAGTAAATCTGTTCCAGAAGGAGCTGCAGAAGAAAACTTTGATCTGCTCATATAGTCTTCTGTGTTAGTAACTTGGTTGACCTCAAAAGTATATGTGCTTGTTAAGATTCGGGTCCTGTTAAATAAGGATAAATTTGAATTCGTATAAATTCCTAATTCAAAGTGGCCAAAAAGGAAATGTTTTTATCATGTACTTTTTGTGCTTCTGAAGCATAAGTGTAGTGAAAAAGTTATAATTCAGCAAAAAGAAAAAAAAAGAAAAAAATGATCTCAGTCTTTTGTGGCTTTGTAATGCTGACATGGCTTCTTTTTCTACCTTTTTTAGTTCTTTTGTTTGGCTGGTTTTACTCTCTAGAGGCCTGCTACTGCCATAAGTAGCGTTTTTAGCATACCATATTCTGCAAACTGCATTAAATGCCACATTTTCTGTTATGAAACAGTTTGCCTGGTTCAAATTATAATCTTACCCTTCCTGCCTTTTGCTGGTAAATCTGTTTTGTTTAACTCTTGGAAACCTCACCTAAGTTTTCAAGAAATATGGTTTGTTTTTGGCTGTGATCCTGATGGAAAAAATGAACATGGTCTCTCATTTCAGTGTAGAAACTCTCTGTGCAGTTTCTTAATAAATGGCAATCTTGAAACTACCAAGTTGACTTTATAGGAGAACATGCTTATCCTTCTTTAAAGGGATGTTGAAATTAGCCAGACATCAAACCAAGGACTTGGAAATAAGCATCTGTTTAATCGAGCACTATACTCACTTCTCTTCCCATGGTAATCCCATAAAGTTCATGAAACGTTACTGCCCTGGTTTTAAGATTATGGAATTACATTGTTTTAATTATTGGGACAAAATATTAGGGGAAAATGGTGAAATTATATCCTACATTTTCCACAGTGGGCCAAGTTGGAGCAAAAACTCTTAATGGAAATCAGTATGTGGGAATAATGGGAAGAAAATAAGCCAGAACTAATACAGAACTAGAAATAACCTCAGGTAGAAGGTTAATTAAAGGTTATAGACTATGTTGCTAGGAAGTCCCAGATCTTCCTTTCTTCTAGTCCATTCACCTCACTGAACATCTTCCAAACCCTTTATCATCTTTCACCTTCCTTCTAATCCTCTGAGTAGGGACTTTGATCCCCCTTCATCCCCAAAGGACTTTACCCTTTGGGAGTTCCTGCCCTGGGTCCCTAGAGACGTCACGAGAAACTAGGTGCAGGGGATGAGGGTGGGGAGGTGGAGATCCCTTTTTATTGGTTTGCAGGTGTTAGAAATGGTGTGAAGGGGATTCTACTGTCATAACAAATTAGAACTGTATTTCTTTTCTCTAGAAATGATGTACAGTTAGGTTAGGATTTCAGGTGCTGTCAATATTGTTAGCATGGGAGTGATATGATGTGAATCTACATAGATGCTCTGCACACACTATCCTCTCTTGCAGTGAAGGGACATGAGCTTGGGGAGTTGACCACTTTTATAAGTAGGAAACAAGCCTCCTCAGTGTCCAGAGGGAGATTTTACCTCATCCTTCAAGGTTCTTTACTGGAAA